TAACCGACTCTGCTCCCATTTTTAAAAATAGACGTGGACAAATTTATAAATATAAGAAAATTGCGAAAAACAAGACACACTAAATTAAGCTTATAAGACAAACTACTACCTACTTAAATATCTATATTAAAACAAAAAGAAAACTATATTATTACACAACAAATTAAACACAGATATTTTTACAATTAAAACTAAAAACCTATATTATACACTAACAAATTAAACTCAAAGAATCTTATTTAATTATGATAACAACAAATGAAAAATATATTAAATTATTCACACTTAAAATATTCTAATGAAATAGTGAAAATTAAGTTCCAAACAAATTATACAGCAATCGCAAATATTCGCTAAGTAGGTAATCTAAGAAATTTCGAAGGAAAATCAAGGTATAAGGTAAGATTTTCATTCAAACAATCCAAGAACAAATAAAATTGAAATTTCGAATTCTAATCCCATTTAAATATTATTTTACATTCGATATTCCAATTTTAAAGCGTATTGCATTGCACTTGCACCTTACACCAAGCTTTTATGTGAGTTCAACGTTTTGAGTTTTCAAACATGTTGTGTCAAAATAAAATGTAGCTTAAATTAAAAACACTAAGGTGTATAATTGACATCAATTTTGATGCAAATTACCCCCAAAATAACTTTCTACCCTTTTTTAACCCCGGTAGGCGATGAATTTCAATAAAATACGAAACACGTCTTCTTTTGCATTTTCCATCAATTTTATTAAAGAATGTTTTTGCAAAATTTGAAATAAATTGGACCAAGAAATCACGTTGTGCCATACAAAATTTGCCCCCGTTTTTCACTCCCTTAGGGGTAGAATTTCGGAAAATCTCGGATTCGGAAGTAAGAATCTCGGATGCTTACTTCATACATAGAACACACCCTCTAAGTTTCAGGTCTATACGATCAGCGGTCTAGGCTGTGCGTTTATCCGCCAGTCACATTCACGACAAAGCATTTTATATGTATAAATATAATTTAGATTTATTAAATGATTTCTATAATTTTTGAAGCTCTTTCGAAATAAAAAGGCATTCAATATTCAATAAAAATGCTGATAGGAAAAACATATTCAAAGTCAAAAGTTACGCCACATATGGTTTTCTTTCGAAACAGATATCCCCGTTGTAAGTTCGTTGAAAGCAAGAGCAATTACTCATGTCAGGAGATGACAACGTTCCGGCACGCGGTGTTTTCGTAACAAATAGGCCTTTTCATCGCCATCTCAATGTATCAATAAACAAGCCATTCGTTTCAGCATTCCATTACAATACAAAAGTTGTCATACATTTTTTATTTACTTTAAAAACTAATCTTGACAAAGTGTCAAGTATAGAAACTTCGAATAAATTTACGTTTTGTTAGACAAATTTAATATTTTACATGTTTTAATTTCATTAATTTTAAAATAAAATGTAAATTCTTATGAAACCTAATATTAAGAGAGAGGAGTAAGGGGGTCTAGTGCTCACTTAGCGCACCCCGTAAGCTCGTAAATAGCAGTCAGAATAAAACGAGTGAATGAAGCAAACCAGCATTAGAGTACTCGACTTATAGCAACGTTTGAAAACAGTCGCAAAACTTTTCATTTAAAACATTTTAATTGGATACATTCACGCCACTGTCGGCCTTATTTTCCTATAGTATACATGTACGGGCTAAATGTGTTTTGCATTTCTTAATGTAGACTGCGATTTATGCTTGAAGATTTTTCTTACATTAGTTTCTTCATCATAACTAGTATTGTACCTATACTATAATTTTAGATGGAATTATCTATTTGAAAATTTTTAGATCTTTTTCTTCATTTGTGTTTTCTAAGCCCTGCATCTCATGGACCTGAACCCTCGCACTGGTAATGCTGCATAAATTGTTCAGGCAATAATAAAATTATATAATTTTATATTTAAGATTGCTTACGTGAATTGTGTTAAGAAAATTTATTATAATACCATATTTATCATTCATTAGATTCCCCCATTTTTGCATAATTTAGACTTTGTTGCAGATTTATAATTTATATTTAAAGAAAATTTTCATTAACGGATAACAAAATGTTATTCGAGATAATATTCTTTCTTATATAAAGATGGAGAACAAATTGAATACTTCTTTCATACGTTATATTATATTACATTATATATATTTGGTATTAAAAATGATCTAAGCGCTCGACGTAAATTTCACAGTTTAAAACAAAGCCGGAGGTCAATCTCGCTGGACACCAATGAAATTATTAATTGCAATTATAAATGCTGTTTTACCACGTACTCGGCAGTAAAATAAACCTGCATATCTGAATCTGAAGTCACGTTGTATCCGCCAACTCACAGTGAAGTAGCGCGGCGGACTAGTTGTATTAAAATACCTTTCAGTAATGAGAAGGAAGCATAAGCCAGAAACGGGACAAATATAGGCTGTAACTTTACTTATTACAGATCGTTTTACTTTTTAAATTATTTTCTTTCTCACTATCAGATAACACACTATGAGTGAAGTCTTTTTTTTAATGCGATGTTCTTTACAATGCACTTCTATTATACAATTGATACCAGTTTCTCGACTCCACAGAGTAAGTAATGCATTCATGGGGCAATGTATACAATATTACAACAAAGTAACATAAAATAAACAAAGTCTCTTTATTACTTACTAAGTTTAAATATTTTATTAAACAAAAACTGTATTATATAAATGAATACATGATTGATAATAACCCCTGGGAATGAGGTGGTGGTCATTTCAAAGATGTTTCTTAAATAAGTTTCGTAGTGGTTACTGCTATGTTGCATTATCTCTGTAAGGAGAATAAAACAGTCTTTACCTGTGGGTGCTAGATGAAATCGAATATTTCTGAAGACATACGATTTATTATCAAGTATTTCATCATCAAGATGATAGCACTGGCGATGTCTTATACATCAGCCGTTCTAATATTTCTCGGAAACACGTCTTCGAGGGCCGGAATAAACTTGTTGTACAAAGTCTCGGTCTAGTAGTTTGTACTGTACAACCTGTGTTTTATTGTATATTTCACTTTAAAAAAAGTCGCGCTTTGTTTCTTGCTGGTGCTCCCACCAAGAACTTGGAACTAGTGGTAAAAGTGAAAAAATGATTTTCGATATGAAATACATTGAATTATCCTTTTTACTGGAATAAAGGCATTCCGTCTTAGTCCTCACGGCTGATAACGCATCTGCACTTTGATTCGCAAACGAGGATAGATGTAGATGTACTTACACTTACACTTACCATCAGGTGGACTGCTTATCACAATTGTCCTATAAAAAAAGTAATCTATATCGAATAAAAATTATTCTATTTCATTTAATATTTAAACGAGGAAATTTTTAATTCTATGCTTCAAGTTTCATAATTTTCGTCAGTGCCTCAGCTACTGTAATAGCTGTACACAAGCAGCAAAATATCCATATTCATTGCGTCAATTGTGTCATTCCTGTTTAGAAACTTCAAAAGAAGGGGAACATTTTATCAAAATTTCGTTATTACCCTGTTGACACGACCCCCCGCCTCTCCCACTGTAAGTCTGTATAACATGGTGAAAGCATCTTTCCCTTTGGGTAAAGGTCGCTGTTTAATACTTGTAAAATCTTTGAAAATCTTTGCCGTGATGGTCTTTTAATATTTAATTTCCTTTTAGGGGCTATATATCTTACGGAGCCTTTTACTAAGCTTACTTTGTCAGTTAAAGGAAAATTAAGTGAATATTTAGTATTCCTCATAAATATTCCGTTATTTACAGATGAAATACATTTATGAAAACAGTTGAAAATTTTAAAGTTAATACATAATTCATGTGAGGAGTGCAAATTTATTAGTCATTTAATTATTTACTAGTTACTTAAAATAGCTCCTGCTCGTGGCTCCACAGGTGTAGAAAAAAACGTCTATACCTTTTGTACCCTATTTCATAAAAATCTGTTTAACCGTTTATACGTTACTTGGTAATAAATATGCAATCATGTTTACAAGCATTCACATCTATAACATTATGATCGATTTAAATGAGATATAAATTAATTTTAAATTAAATCAACAAATGTGTAGTCCAAATTATATAAAATCAAAGGAAGAGACTTAAAATTTTAAATTAATTAATAATGTATTTTGAGCTATGTATATTAAGAAATAAGTATATATAAAGTATAGTAATAAGAATATATACGACGTTAAAAACTAAAAGAAAAAGAAACAAATTACTAATAAAAAAATCATTTTTAAAAACAAGCTTTTATTTAAATGCTCTAAAAAGAAGAAAATAAATTATAAATTAAATCAAACCCATCAATTTATTGTCTTTGCCTCATTGCCTTTTGCCGATAGATTTGGTAGGCTGAAAAGACAATGAGCCGACTACATTGCTCGAACATATAAGAACTGATGGGGAAGAAAGGTTTCCAATTGACAGCCTCGTTCTGACAAGCGTAGTTTTGCACGGCCCCCCACTAGATGGAGTGATGTACCTGATGAAAAATACCGTTGGTATATGAATATCTATGTCCAGGAGTTGACTTGTGATGGGTTGTGATAGATTGATGGAATGAAAATCCAATGATGAACGAAGGCCCTTTTCTGCCGACTTCCAAAAAGGAGACGGTACTCAATTCGACTGTATGTTTTTTTAATGTGTGTTACGAGTATCTCATAATTTTTTACTGGGTGAACCGATTTCAATGATACTTTTTTATATGAAAGCTGATACTTCTCGTGTGGTCCTATATGAATTTTATCAAGGTCAGACCTTTTGAGTTATTCTTAATAACTTATATTGAAGCCGGCTGTACAAAATGTTAAATTTTAAATTATTAAGGCCGCTCTTACTGGTACTAACCCGTGATCGTTACAAGATTATGAAGTGTGGATACGTTTGGTACAAAAGTCTTCCTTCTTCTTTATTTATTTCAGACTATTGAAATGATAATTTCATAACAATATATCGCTTTATTTCTTTTGTTTAGGTATCAGTTGTTCCTTCAACTGAAGCAGGATGTTCTGCGAGGCCGCCTGCCCGTCAGCTTCGACCTTGCTGCTGAATTAGCTGCGTATGTACTACAATGTAAGTAAATTTTAACAAGTAACGATACTTTTAAGTAATTCGATATATAAAACGCAATTTAGTCCCGGTGAGTTGTAGACAGAGCTTTGTCGGGAAAATGACTCTCATTTCAAGTTAAGTGTTCTCAGTACACAAAGCCTTTGTTGGAAAAGATAGCTAATTCACAAGATTATTTGGTACTCGGTCTTTGTTTAGAGTATTTATCTAACGTAATTAAATAGTATACAGAATAAACAAAATTAAGGGAGTTTATGTTTTTGAATGTTATATAATTCTTGTCTTTGTATTTGATCTTTTTACATAAAGTTTGCAAGTGTCTGAGTAATATATTTTTACTCTAACATTTGAACACACCTTTTACGCCGAATTCTGCTGATGAGGGTAGCGTTAACGACGAAGTTGCGCTTTGTTTGCCTTCGAAATTGGGTTCGTTATGTTGAACGTATGCTTGTTGTCTTATATCACACTGAAATACGCTAGTTTTCTCCAGGAGTTTTATTATTTGACTTTTCCTGGTTTTTACGATAATGGGCTGTATGCCATGAGGACCACTTCGTCAGTTACTTTGGGACGAAGAAAATAATTTATAATATATCTTACATTCGTGCCTAGATTTTAATGGTGATTCTCACTTCACACCTTAGGGAACTTCACATCATAGCGAAATTTGTATGCGTTGTAATTATCACCAATAGAGTTAGTGAACAAAATTTGCATTGAATACTAGAGACAGATTGGACAAATAAAATAGGGAAATAACTACTAACACGTAATTTTTACCGTAAGAGTCGGTTCAACGTTCCATAACACAAAAGTAAAGTACATACATGCTATGGAATAACAATAATTGAATGCCCTGAGGCTTGTGAACAAGAGGACATTGACTCAACGCTGTAGATATTGTTTTAATATGCCAATTGTTACCAAATGTTACCTCTGTCAGTTGCAGAACATCGTAGACAATTAATTGCAATTATTGAGTAAAATGAGCTTTTTTAATTGCAATATGCCTAAGATAATATATTATCTTATATAATCATCATTCACTTTTTAATGATTTCATGATTCATTTAAAATACAGTGTTTCTTTATCATTTGAAGGCTCATTCAAATTGGTTTATATATATATATATATATATATAATCCGTCGTTTATAACCATTGATACAGCTTTTTTATAGAATACGATTGACAAACGACCACATAGTCCACTTGATGGTAAGTGGATGCTGTGGCCAATACACATATTATATCTATCCTAGATTAAGAATCAAAATGGAGATGCAGTTTCACCCTTGAGGACTAAAATAGAATGTCTCATTCCCAGTAAAAGTGTCTCCGGTGCTTTACACTTACCATACTAAACACAGCAGCCACTTTACGTTGGTATTCGGTGAGAGTGAGAGCGTGTCTCCGATCGAGCCGGCCATTTTTGTTACAAACATAATATTGCTGCAGTATGGCTCTATCACTTACACTATACTTTAAAGTGTTATAATTATAATCTGCAATTATAATTTTTCTTAGTATAATAAGCACATGATAGTATGGAAATAAATTAATAACGGTTTTGCTAGAACTGTACACGAATTTTGTTTTTAGTTATACGTAGTACTGTTATTGTGGTTCATATTGCCACAAGTTTATTTTAGGCAATTATAACATAAGAAAAGGAAATAAAATATAAAGTATTTAGCGATCATTAAACAAATCGACCATTTTGCAATCGATCTCAAGATGATGCTGGTTTTTTATGCTCATTTGAACATCTCACAAGAGTAGTACAAGTATGCACTTGTTATTATATCTTATTTCTTGCTACTAGTTGCGATTATAATATTATGATAGTCTTTGGGGACAACGCGTCTGCATTTTGATTCCCAATCGTTGTATAAATTAAAGTGTCTATGGCTTATAGTATCCACTTACCCAAGTAAGGTGTGTTCAATTGTCATCTCTACTTATATATAAAAAAAAAACAAAGGACTTTGTTATACTTATAAAATATTCTCTAAAATAAATAAGTGAACTTAAAGCTGGAAATCTTTTAACTATAAAGATAATCTCCAACATAGGGCTATAGATTTGTATAATAGAGTGCTTTTGTTACTGCTTTATTATCATCGAAATTATGGCAACCGTCATTATATAAAAGTGTCTATTTATGCGGTTTTTGTATTTCACGTAAATTAGGCAATCTATCCCGCGATTTAAATTGCAACAAATTATGTAAATGTCTGTATCTAATAAACATCAAAATAAAGAAAACAATTAAGACAATTAAAAGCAATATAAAGTTAAAGGGTACTTAATGAATTAAAACTAGAACCGCCTTTGAAAAATCCAACGGAAAGGAGCGTGTCCGCTTTTTTCCAATTCATATATTGGCGGTATTGTCCCGAGCATACTATCGAGTCTGATTCCATTCTGTTAGTACAAGCAATTGTTAGATCCAATCTTAAAGGACTTATATTTTGTTGTTACTCGATGGATAGAAACAACTAATTTACTTCGATTTATTCAACCAACGTATTTATATTTATTTTTAAATTTGGTCAGGAAAAATATGATATTAAGTAAGTGCTTACTATTTAAATGAAATCTATATTACTTTACATCAAGGTAGAGTTCCTTCTTTGCCTTCAAATACCTCCATTTATATATTTTATGATATTTAAAAAAAATCTACCCCCGTTACACTTGGGACTTCTATTATATCGTGAAGGCGTTTGATATACTTAATGTATATTATGTTACACATGGACAAACATCCTGATCTGGAATCATATTGCAGCGCTCACAAACAGTTGTTCGTTAGTAGTTGTTGTCAGTACGCTCAGACTTGGAAATTGCGTCCTGCGGCACTGCAGCCAAATTCTACTGCTATACATTAGTGCACCCACCGTATCTGTTTTTTTTTAAAACAATAAGGGTGACACACGAGCATACAGTCCATTTGATGGTAAGTGAATGCTGTGGCCCATAAACATTTACATTTATCCTAAATTAAGAATCAAAATACAGATGCGTTGTCGCCACTGAGGACTAAGATGGAATGCCTCATTTCCAGTAAAAAGGGTCTCCGGTTCTCTACACTCAAGTTTTGCCTCGAGCGAAATGTAGAAGTTTTCGAAACTTGCAAGTTGCGTGTTCATATCACTCTGGTTTACCTCAAAGAGTGTGATACCAAAGTGATGGCCACTTTGGCCGTGGATTGAAAAGGGGAGATCTTCCGTCGGGCAAGGTGTTCAGGTCTTTAACCGGCCAACGTTGCATGTACTGGTATGGAGCTGTTCTCTATATACCAGAGTACTTCGGTAACTTCGATAATGTGATTTAAGATACGATTCATTTCGATTGCGGCACGATGACGGCGCCATAACAAGATAAATTTTATGTTATTGATACAGACGTTCTTTAGCATTAGAATATGATCGATGTATTTACATTTATGTGTCTTCCACTTCGTTATGACCCCATAATAGACCACAGACATATCTCAAGGAAAGTAGGAAGAAATTTCCGTAATCGTCACTCTTGGGCTTGGCTGACGCATATCAGAGATCTCGCTGCTTTCACGCTAGGTCCCGTCATCAGTTTTGGTATTCTTCACCAAGATTTTTTTTTATAAAATAGAAGTGTTAAACGTCCTTACAATTCACCCAACTTCCAACATAGAAAGCTACAGGTGCGTGCCTTCTCCGCGGAATAAGATGGAATGCCTCACAGCTTGGAATTATTGCAGCTGTCTATACTCTGAAGAATGGAATACAGCAGTGCAGGCACTAGGCTCAGAAGGGCTAGAACCCAGAGCCGTAAACCCATTTTAAATAAAAAACAGTGCAGGCACTGCTATTTAGCGGCTAGCTAAGAGAGTGATACCTATCCAGACGGGATCCTAGGCAGTAAAGAGGTCCTATTACTAAGCCCTATATAACTAAATACGAAGAAGAAAACGCTATTAGCAAAGGCTTCGGTCAAGAGAATTAGGCGGAAAGTGTTTACACTGTGATATAACAACGTGTGTATAATATAATGTGCTCTTCAGTCGGGCTTAAGTCCAATGCCGTGGTGAAGAGTCTTCAGGGGCGTCTTAGTGGCGCATTAGGCATAAATTTTTAGCGGTCGTCACTCAGCTCGCTCATTATAGTGTATAATAGAAAAGCTGACCGCTCTGCCCCTTTGAACACTCTCCACTGAGGCTTTATCCTTAGGAGCATATAAAATTAAAATTATTTTCATTTTTATATCGTACGTTTTTGTAATGTTATCAATATAAACAAAAAAAAAAATGAAAACAGGCTTCAAAATTAAAAATGATGAAATAAATTTCATATAATAATTGTCAAAGTCGGTGCTAAGACATAGTGTAACGAAAAATGAAGGCTCGACTTCAGGAGCGATTCATTTTTGATGTTGAAATCGGTTTTTACTATACTAAAACTTTTGAGTAATCTAAGAAATAGTTACAAGTTCAAAGACAAGGACTAGAAAACCTTCTAAAAGTTACATAATAAATTTCACCCCTAATTTCTTCACCCTTAGGGGTTAAAGTTTTTCTTTATTATGTAAGATCAAAGAAAAAATACACCTTAAGAGTCACCTATTCAAAAAAAGAAACACTATTAATATCGGTTCATGAACAAAAAAGTTACGCCCGAACATATTAGAGTTGACTGTGATAAGTAAGTCCGCTCTCTTAATAAAACACACATAAAAATATAATTATGCAGACGAATTGAAAACTCCTCTATTGAAGTCGGCTAAAATACCAACATAGAAATGAGAAGATTTTATAAAAACGACACAAGAACTAAAGTCATAAAAACATACTCTAATCGAGTTAATAAAATCTATTATTACCCGTAACCGTAATAAGAACGCAGTTGATAAAAGAGTGAAAGAAAGATACAAAATAGAAATTATAATCTAGAAGTAACAATATATATAGTAACTAGGTGGCCAGGCAGACGTTGTTCTGCCTTTCTCGACGACCATTTG